CCCCATGGGGTGCCAAAACCAGCGCCTCGCCCAAGACGTCCTCAAAATCTTCTCCGAAAGCGGATGATATTGGAAGCGCAAACAAGCAAACCGTTCGAGGCATCCCCGCAAGCCGGGCGCAAGTGGATGAGTGAGCTAACCTTTGGCGGCTCCCCCTTGGGTGTGCTGAAACCAGCGCCTTGCCCGAGCCATCCTCAGAATCTGCCCTGAACGCAGACGAATCTGGTCACCAAAACAGGCAAGCCGCCCGAGGCATACTCGCAATCTGTCCCCCCTGGGTGCGAAAGCCACCGCCTCGCCTGAGAAATCCTCATATTCTGCCCCAAGGACCGAAGATGTCGGGGCCGCAAACAGGCAAACCATTCGAGACATCCCCGCGAACGAAGGAGTGATATACCTTCTTGGCGGCCCCCACTGGGAGTGTTGAAACCAGCGCCTCGCCCGAGACATCCTCCAAATCGGTTCCGCCATCATTATCAGCATCATCCGCATCATCCTCGTAACCATCCTCATCATCATCACCACCATCATCATCATCATCAGCAGCACCATCATCATCATTGACATCAATGGCATCATCAGCACCAGCAACAACATAAGCGTACTTCGTAGCACCAGCATCAACAGCATCATCATCAACATCGCCATCGGCATCATCACCACCATCAGCAGCATTGCCACCACCATCATCATAATCAACATCATAGTTGTCATCATCATCATCATCATCATCATCATCATCATCATCATCATCAACATCAACAGCACCATCATCCGCGTCATCCTCATCATCAGCAGCATCAGTACCATCATTGTTGTCATTACCATCAGCACCGTCATCATGATTATCATTAAGCCAGCGCCTCGCCGGATGCATCCTCAGAATATGCTCCGTCGGCAGCGTCATCATCATCATCATCATCAGCATCATCATCAGCATCATCATCGTTATCAGCATGGTCTTCATTGTCATCGACGTCAGTGACATCATCATCATCATCACAGGCAACACTCCCATCATCAGCATCATCATCAGCAGCATCATCAGCATCGACGTCATTGCCATCATTACAATCATCAACACAAGCGGCATTAGCATCACCATCACCATCGGCAGCATCAGCCTCATCCTCGCCATAGCCTGAGTACTGACCCTGCGTGTCGCCCTGACTATGAGTAATTATGAGTTCATCGTCGGCGTCACCATCATCTGGCGCATCTTCATGATCATCACCTTCATCATCATCGCAATCAACATCAGCATCATCATCACCAGCATCAACATCACTCATCATCAGCATCAGCATCGCGAGTCTGAGTGAGGAGAGGAGTTGGGTGCGGGTGTGTCCTCAGCGCGGTCAGGATGATCATTCATTGCGTGGCGCTCCCCGTATATGCATCTCACACTCATGTCACGTCTCGCTGAAGAACTCAGTCTGTGAGCACCTGGGTGTGAGAGCAAGTCAGCGTAGACGACGGGCGCGACAACGACGTCGGCGACAGCGACGACATCAGTGACGTCCTCCTTCCCTGGCCATCTTCCAGGAGAGCTGAGGGAAGCACTAGTGGAAGAGCAAGGGGGCATTGGAAAACCAAAGGGGAGATGACTGAGCGAATATAAGCATGAGTGATCTGAGCGTGAGCGAGTCTGAATGTTAGTGAATCTGGGTGTGGTTGACTGTGAGTGTTAGTTAGTCTATGCATGAGAGAGTCTGAGTACAAGTGGGCTTGGGAATGCGTAAGTCTGAGTGTGAGTGAGTCCGAGTGAGAGTGGGTCTGAGTGTGGGTAAATCTGTTTGTGAGGGGGTCTGGGCATGAGTATAATGAGTACGATTCTGAGCCCGAATGGGTCTGAGTACGAGTGGGTCTGACTGTGAGTGAATATGAGGGCGGGTGGGTCTAAGTGTGAGTGGTTCTGAATGTGTGTAAGTTAATGTGAGTGAGTCCGGGTATGAGAATGACGAGTCCGAATCTGAAAACGAGTGGATCTGAGTATGAGTGAGTCTGACTACGAGTGAATATGAGGGAGGGTGGGTCTAGGTATGAATGAGAGAGTGTGAGTGAATTTGAGTCTGAGTCTGATGAGTACGAGTCTGAGTTTGAGCGTGTCTAGGCGCGAGTGCGTTTGAGCATAAGTGAGTCTGAGACATCCTTTCAATGTGGGCCACCTGGGGTGTTGAAACCAGCGCCTCATCCGAGACATCCTCAGAATCTGCCTCGAACGCAGACGAATCTGGCCACCGAAACATGCAAACCGCCCGAGACGTTCTCGCAATCTAGGCCCCCTGGGGTGCGAAAACCAGCGTCTCGCCCGAGACATCTTCAAAATCTGTTCCGAAAGCAGAGGATGTTGCGGGCACAAACAGGCAAAGCGCTCGAGACGTCCCCGCAATCTGAGCGCGAACGGAGGAGTGAGATACCCCGTGGCGGCCCCCCCCTTTGGGTGTGCTGAAACCACCGCATCGCCCGAGACATCCCCAGATTCTGCTCCGGCACCATCACCATCATCATCATCATCATCATCACCATCACCACCACCACCACCACCACCATCATCATCATCATCATCATCATCATCATCATCATCATTAGCATTAGCATTAGCATTAGCATTACCATAATCATGATCACAATCATCATCAGCATCATCATCCTCATCACCAGCGTTCTCCTTATCACCATCACCATCACCATCACCATCGTCAGCACCATCATCGTCGTCATCGTCATCATCGACATCATCATCGCCATCAGCATCATAATTGCGAGCAGCATCGACATCATTGCCAGCAGCATCACCAACACCGTCATCCTTCTCACCATCATTACCATCATTATCATCACAGCCATCATCATCGGCAGCATCGTCATCACCATCGTCATCATCGTCATCGTCTTCATCGGTATAAGCATCGTCATCAACATCATCATCATCATCATCATCGCGAGCATCATCGACATCACTGCCATCATCAATACCATAATCATCATCAGCCTTTCCATCACCATCACCATCACCATCGTCAGCATCGTCATCGTCATCATCGGCATCATCATCATAATCGCGATCAGTATCGACATCACTGCCGTCATCCTCATCATCAGCATCATCAAATCGTCATCCTCGTCATCATCATTACCATCATCATCATCTCCGCCATCATCATCATCAGCAGCATCGTCATCACCATCGTCATCATCGCCATCGCCATCGTCATCAGCATCATCGCCATCGTCATCAGCATCATCATCGCGAGCATCATCGACATCACTGTCATCATCAGCACCATCATCATCATAATCATCAACAACACCGATGCCCTTCTCATCCTTCTCATCATCATCACCACATCATCAGCATCATCCTCTTTTCGTGCGGAGGAGGAGGAAGGAGGTGAAGAAAGAGGAGGAGGAGGAGGAGGAGGAGGAGGAGGAGAGGAGGAGGAGGGGGAAGTAGTCGGCGCGGCCGGAGTAATAACAAGAATCCTATCCTTTGGATATGGTGGGCAACAAGAACCCCATCCTTAGAATATGGGGAGTATCAGGAGCCCCATCCTTAGGACATGGGGAAAACACGATGGCACTCAATGTTGTTGGCCTCTCTCCTGGGATGTCTCGAAAAGTTCTTCCGCCGTCTTGGTGCCATCTTGGGCGTCTGGGACCCATCGCGCAGCGATTCGGAGCCCTCTCAGACCTTCTTGTGAGCCTCTTGGGGCCTGCTCGGCCCGTCTTGGGCCCTCTTGGGCCCGAGAAATTCAGGCGGGAAGACGCGACACGGCCCAGGAGATTTGGCAATTTCGGGCCCAGGCCCCCTCAATAATCCCTAGGATTGAGAGTTGAGGCTCCAGGGGACTGAGCAAGGGACCTGAGGACACTCCACCCGTGCCTCTGGGGCACAGTTGCGGATACCATGCGGGCCACGCGCGCGCGCTGCCGCGCGCGGGGGTCGAAGTTCGTCCAAAACCATTGGTGCCCTGATAATTTCAAGGTGGGGCGATTCCAAAACATATGAGAAAGCAACAGACATTCAACCAACAGTCTACCAGATGTCTTAAACATCTGCGCGCGCACTTCCTCACCAACCGCCGTTATCGGCATCACCAGTCGCGGCCGTTGCCGCCATCGCCGGTCAACCACATTCACCGTCGACTCATTGACAACAACAACTATAACAACATCATCAACAGCAGCAACAAACATCATCACTATCATTAACATCATCGTTTTATCGTCCTCATCAGCATCATCAACATCATCATCATCAGCATCATCATACTCATCATGTTCTTCTTCATAATCATCGTCGTAGTCGTCGTCTTCGTCGTCGTTAGCACCAGCGCCGTCATTGGCCTCGTCGTCGTCATGGGCATCATCGCCACCACCATCGCTACTGTCATCACCGACCCGCGCTGAAGTGCCCGCGTGCCAGCGCGGCTTCTGAGACCCTCTGGGAAGTTCCCAGCGGCAAGCACAATTGCGGTCGCATCAGCTGTGCCAAACCAGTTGCCCGGTCTGCGCGCGAGCTTGCGCGCGCTAGCGCGGCCGCACAGATGCGCCAGTAAGGAAGAGTCACCGCAATCGCGGTCGCATTGGTTTTGCAAAACAAGTGGCGGGTGGGAGGGTAGGATTATTACGCGAGCAGTGGAGTCGACAACCCATGATTTGGCCACAGATAATCGCACCACACAGCTTGCACCGAAAATGTTGCACCGCAGAGGTTGCAAGTTAGCTTGCGCAAGATAGCTTGCACCAAATGGATTGCACCGCATCGCTTGTTCCGCATGGCATATTGTTTAGGGCCTACGCTGCCAAGCATTCTTCTGTGAGGGCGACTGCGCTTGAACGCTTCCACACTTTACTTTGTCCGTCGATCCGAATCTGTTTCCCTGGCGGATTCGTTTGACACGATGTCGATCTCCATCTGCTGAGTGCATTTGTGATTTTATGGTGCCAGCATCCTTTGAAGCAGCCATATCCGCTGCATGCAGCGACCTTGGCAGGAGGGGTACTACGACGGCATCCACTTTCACAGGCAGCGGCGGTCGGGCCGAGCGGTTGGATGAAGGTTTTTGATTTGGCATTTCACTCACGAAAGCGGCCGAAATCCTAGACCTCCGACGCCCCGATTCTCTCATTGCTTGGGCCTGCAGGGCCCTCGACTCGCCCTTGGTACGGATGGCACCCCTTTGTAGTGTTCTGTAAGCGCCGAAACCCAAAACGAGCCTCCAGAGGTCCGAAGTCGGGAAAGCTGGCCGTCTTCCTTTCCCAACCCAGATCCCCGACGATTTGATGTTTTTCAATCCGAACGGTTTTCCTCAATTTCGGCTTTTGGAGCCCAGCATCAGGCTCCGGGACCATCACAACGGACCAGGGGCGAAAAGTTGGCCCCATGAGAGAGGTCGGGATCTTATGGGGCCACGGATTGAAAAGTAATATCGGCGGACGTTTGGGAATCAGGCTTGCCCGAGCGGTTCTTAGCTTCGACGTGAGGAGAGCCGTTATCTGGCGTGAACACTTGCAGTCTGGTTCTTCGAGGCTTGGACGCAAGTTCCTCGCGCAAACACATGGTGTGCGGTGCTCGTGATCAGCCATGATATGATGACATTAAAGCTGATGCTAGCGTTATAGGCTACGCTACGCGATTGATATGCCATGCAACACCCAGATGTACCGGGCCAGGCTAGTCATGTGCGAGCTATGGCACGCTTCACTCTACAGTGGCATGCCATCATATGCTGTTCAGTGTGAGCCAATGCTCTACGACGTTATATACACTGTGACGCCGTGCCACGCGCCACGCTATGCTGTGCTGCGCCTCCCTAGACCACCTACGACCAGTGGGCTGGTGGGATGTTCCTGCAAGCTTCGGCGCTTCATAGTTTTCACGTTGCTCCAAACCTTTTTTTGCCTTTCAGCCTCAGTTGTGTGAGGCCTTCTGCGCATGGTCAGTCGATCCGTTAGGGATGTACACGATGTAGTCCAGTTCAACGGCCTCGTGTTCCCCCACATCCTGCCCCGCGGTGTTTCCGCACGGTCGCGTCGTGACGGGGGGGTATGATGCGGATACCGTTGGCGATGGTCGGACTGCTTTTCGCAAGCTTGCATTGCTCAGAACTGGAGTCGCACACACATTCCTGACAGCACATCTGGAAGGGTCCGACGGTCTGCTTAGCGCCATCACGCTGAAACTGAATGCACACCTGCAGCCAAGACGCTGGACTGGGAAAATGAAAGGGCTCGACATCACTGTTGTTGCTTACCACCCTTCAATCGCAGTCTCAGAATATCGGCCAAACTGGGGCAAGGAAGGGGCGCAGCCCTGTGGAAGATGTTATGCTGCAAGATGTCGGCAGCAGGGTACCCCTCGATACCAGCAACGCCGACCCAGGCAGGATCTGGGTAATTTTGTTTCTGGGAGTTGTGGCTGTTCATTGACACGGCGAAGTCATTGAGCGTGCTGTAGTGTCGTTGAGATCACCGTGACAACCGTGATCAGTGCAGTACAAGCCGGCGCGTCAGGATTGAGAGTGCACGCTCGGGGGCGTCCTAGAGGGGGGTGTTGATAAGGGGAATGGCACGAATGGGGCCACGAAGTCTCCCCAGCTCAGATTTCATGGCCCCTCTGCGTCTTATCATGATTAGTGGTTTCATCTGTCTTATCAGTACTGTTCGTATGATTACTACCTTATTCTGCTTTTTCTTACTATTTTCAATATCCTTATTCTTTCAATACGTCCCGTTGTCCCGCCCCCACTCGTCCGCACACATGCTCCGACCAAGATTTGCACCCCCCCGTCTTGGACGCTCCCCTCTTGGACGCCACCGACGCGCTCAGGATCGATGTGGCCACCCAGCGATTCGAATCCACGCTGAAACGCGCACAAGCACGGCACTAGACATCACCAGCATGTGTGCAGAAAGGGCAGGGTATGGCAGGCAGGGCAATTGTTCATTTGACTCGCCAGGGTTATCCCGAACTTCATGGCCCAGTTTGGTTGCCCCAACGCCAAGGACGGGGGGAGGTTGGCGCAAGGGTGGGCATGGACCAGGGCAGTGTCGAGCAGAGGATTCATCATGCTGTAGATCTCACCCAGACCAGGTGCACTCAGTCCTCTGAGCAGCTTGCTTCTGTGCAGGTCCTCTTCTCCACTTATCCTTCCGCGTGCACACGGCAGAAGCTTGACCGATTGCGAACGAGCGGCTTCAGCAGGCCAAGCAAGTGTCAGTGCAGGGTTGGGACACTTCGTCACTCTTGATTTAGGTCGGGCGTGTCCCCCTACAGGCGGATTCTGGACGAAAAATAAGACATGCCCCAAAAATATTATTACAACAACAACAACAAAAACAACAACAACAACAACAACAACAACAACAACAACAACAACAACAACAACAACAACGACAACGACAACGACAACGACAACGACAACGACGACAACGACAACAACAACAGTCAGTTTAAGACTGTTCGCCTTTATCTGCTCGAGTGTCCAATAACGCGTATTTCCCAAACCCTCGATACCCGCCCTCTTCGTCTTCGATCGAACCCCTTTTGGGGGGTATGCCTTTCTTCCCTGCAGGCCGGGCCCCGGCAAGCGGCGGGGCGGCCGCGGACCGTCGGCCTGGCCAGCGGCAGCGCTGATCGGCGGGGCGGCCGCAGACCGTCGACCCGACCCCAAGAGGGACGGACAGGGGACCGACCACGACGACGACGACGACGACGACGACGACGACGACGACGACGACGACGGCGACGACGACGACGACGGCGACGACGACGACGACGACGAGCGAAAGCGAGAGCGAGAGAGAACGACAGCAGAGCCACAAGGACACGAAATAGGCCACGAAGGGCGACAGCGGGGACACGAAGGGAATGCGTATGGGGCCACGAAGAGTGCGAACGAGCGGGGGCCACGAAGGGCAGATAATGCAGGGCCACAGAAGGCAACGATGGGGCCACTGAGGGTAGAAACTGGGCCACGCAGGACAGTGAGGGGGCCACAAACGGCGACAGCGGGGCCACGAAGGGCATGCACATGGGGCCACAACGGGCGCGAACGAGCGGGGGCCACGAAGGGCATACGTATACTGGGCCGCGAGAGGCAAGGAAGGGGCCACTGAGGGCAGCAACGGGGCCACGAAGGGCAGCGAGGGGGCCACGAATGGCTGCAGCGGGCCACGAAGGGCATGCATATGGGGCCACCACGGGCGCGAACGAGCGGGGGCCACGAAGGGCATACGTATATGGGGCCACGAAGGGCAGCGAGGGGGCCACGAAAGGATGCAACGGGGCCACGAAGGGCAGCGAGGGGGCCGCGAAGGGCAACGATCGGACCACGAAGGGTTGCGACGGGGCCACGAATGGCAGCAAGGGGGCCACGAAGGGATGCAACGGGGCCACGAAACAAAGCGAGGGGGCTTCGAAGGGCTGCAGCGGGGCCACGAAGGGCAGCGAGGAGGCCACGAAGGGCAGCGAGGGGGCCACGAAGGGCAGCGAGGAGGCCACGAAGGGCTGCAACGGGGCCACGAAACAAAGCGAGGGGGCCACGAAGGGCTGCAACGGGGCAACGAAGGGCAGCGAGATCCCGATTCCTGGGTAATCTGTGAGGGAGTCCTAAGCGTGAACGCGACTCCTGGGTGCCTGGGTGTCGGGAGCGCGGCGCAAGAGTAAATTGCAGGAAATTCCAACGCAAGGGCGCTAGTCTTCAGTAATTTCCAAGCAAGTCTCCAGCGAGAGCGCGATTCCAGAGCGCCGGGAGAGCGATTCCTAAATAATTTGCCAGGAAATCCCAAGCGAGAGCGCGATTCCTGAATACAATGCGAGGAAGTCTCGGGCGGGAGCGGGGGTCCTGGCTAAATTGTGAGGAGGTCTCAGGCGGGAGCCGTTGTTGTTGTAACCCGGGGGCCAGGGGCCCAGTTTGAGCCTCAAGACTTTCCCTGATAAAAAACAGGGTGCGAGCGTCGAGGGGAACACTTTGATTGAGAAAAACAGTATGCACCGGTCGGGGGGGATCAACAATAATCATTGCTCATAAATGAGAAGTCAACAACAACAACAACAACAAGAACGTCTGGAGACTATTTTTTACTTTTCTGAGTATTCCCCCTATAGAGGGACAGGCCCAATTTAACTATTGATTCGAGTCTGCGGGCAGCAAGGCGTGCACGAAGGCCGCGAAGGTAGTCAGTGATGCTGTGCACACTCTGTGCCCTCGTCGTTCCCGCCCCGCGGCAGCAGAGGGCAGCCCCGGCATTGCCTTAAATCGGGCCTGCTTCTCTACAGGAAGAAGATTGAGAAAAAATCTGGGGACGATTTTCGACCATGTAAAAAGTTGTTGGTATGTGTTTGGGGTACTTATTTCTTTCGCCCGAAAACCGCCTGTAGGGGGATAGGCCCGACCTAAGCCTACAGTCGCTTTGCCGCTCACGGGGCTTCAGTTGTCGAGCGCTTCGCGCAGGTGTTCGGGGGTGACGCGGGGCCCAGCCTCCGCCCTCGATATCCGGGGCCGCGCGGCGGGCCAGAGCCATCTGGATGCCGATGCCTTCTTCCCTGAGGCCCGACGTCGCGAAACAGTGAAACGTCGTGAAAGTCACGACTGGAGCCCTAAACCCCATCTTTCTGTTGCACTTTCGAGCTGGATCGATCCGTGATGGTTCCAGGGCTCGAAGCCTGGCAGAAACGCCCGTTGTGAAAAAAATGCAGCGCCCACATCTCAGGGTCGACACTAATTTTTGCCGTGGGACTCCCGTGGACCGCCCCCTTGGGCAAATTTCAGAAAGGAAGCCCCGAGAGTTGGAGAATGCGGTTTCAATTCGGTTTCGCCCCTTTTTCCTCCTCCTCATCATCAGATTCCCCTCTTCCTTGTCCTCAACCTCATCCTCATGATCATCATCCTCCTCCCTCCGCATCCTTTCTATTGCGACGGATGGCCTCCATTCCTCCACATATTCCTATCCCTCCTCATGTTCATTATCCCCTCCTCATCATCGTCAGCATCATCATTAGCAGCATCATCCTCATCAGCATCAGCATCATCAGGAGCATCCTCATGATCAGAATCACCATCACCAGCAGCAGCAGCATCACCGTCATCATCAGCAGCATCATCACCCTCATCATCAGTACTATCATCATCATCACCATCAGCATCACGACCATCATCATCAGCAGCAGCATCACCAGCATCACCATAGTCATCAACATCAGCATCATCATCATCATCAGCAGCATCATCATCATCGTGATCAGCATATTCATCATCATCCGTACCATGTGGCTCCAGCTTCTCGAAATACAAATCCCTGTTCCCTGGTGCTTCGAGCTCGCTCGCAGTTGAGGGGGCAGCTCGAATCCTGGGCACAGCTGCTCTGCTCTGCGCCCCTCTCCTTCCGACCAGATCGGACCACCCGCTCGTTCTCAGCCAGCGCTCTGTTCTGCAGTGCAGTGGCGCCGTCCTCGACAAAGGAAGCGATCACGGATCCGACGGCTCAGGTGGTTGCGTTGACTGACCAGTTCGATCACGAAGGTGACACAGCAGGTAGCAGAGATTACCGAGGCTATGAAGGGGATACAGGAAGGACTGAAACAGCAAATGAAGAAGCTAGCAGAGACGGATGCGGCGCTGGCGGTTCTGAAGTCGTTGGCGAACAGCGGTGGCATTAGCAGCGGCGTCGGTTTCAGCAGCGACGATGGCACGGAAGGCAACGTGGCGAAGAAGGCTGGGCTCGGTACTCGCGTTAGCTTTGGCAACCAGGACCTGTTTTCCAATGGGATTGTTGTGGGCTTTGGGGATGAGTTCACTCGCAAGGTCCTCGCTGAGGCGGGGACGGCAATTTTGACAGCACGCGCTCGGGCCGAAACTCTGCAGCAGATGAAGGCCCCCCCCCTCAGAACTTCCCGAAGAAAGTGATTATTGCGTTCCCGTCGGGCGACGCAGCGCCTGAGACGATCGAGACGTTCCGCAAGAACTACCCTGGCGGCTTCGAGCTCACTACTCCCAAGGGCCCTCGCACTGTGCGTCTTAAACCCCGCAGGGGCGGCGAGACTAACAAGCAGCTACCCGTGATGGGTAAGATTCGTTCGGATTTCGAGTCGGTCGTCAAGTCGACCCCACTGCTCGCGGGCTGGTCGGTAGACTCCTCGGTCGGGAATGGCATCGTGTTCATATCTAATGATTATAAGGGCGACCCGCTCAAGATGCTTTGCGTTCAGAAGCCCTGGTCGGCGTTCGCGCAGCCGCGCGCGATCGCCTTCGCCCGTCACTTCAAGCAGATAGGTATCGAGAGCAAGCAGGATGAGACAGCGCGTCCAGGATATGGGAGCAGCTGGGTCGCCAGCACGTCCTCTCCTTCGGAGTCGAGTGCCTCTGAGGAGGCTGGGTGGCCATCACAGGAGGTAGCCTCTCATCTGTGCGAAGGCCGTTTTGACGGGGCCCGGCATCATATATGGGGAGCTCGGTGCGACGTCGTTCCTCCCCTTCGCCCCCAAGAAACCGACGTCGATCGCCACGTGGAATGCCGGATGGTTGCTTGCCAGCGGCACTGGCATGAGGGATCGGGTTGGCACTCGTTGGAAGCTGTTACCTGCCGCAATCCGTCACACTCAGATCGTCTGCACTCAAGAGTCCCATGGTCATGAAGGTGATGCAGTCTCTCTCCACAAGGAACTCCCGTCCCACAGGTTCTTCTTCAACCCCGGCCCCAGCAACGCCACTGGTCACGGCGCCCCCGCTTGAGCGCAGGATAAGTTGGCGCTTCAGTTCGGCGGTTTCACTCAGACGATTATTCCCGGCAAGGCGTCGCACGTTCTTCGTTGGGGCGTGACTGGTCGTTTGGGGGCCGTTGCAGTTCACCTTCCCAATGCTGGTGCAGGGATTGGATATTGCCGGCACTGTCTCTCTTGCATTCGCTCTGTTCTTCCCCATGATGCAACCGCTGCCCGCGTCCTTCTTGGCGATTTCAATGTTGTCTTCAGTGATGCGGGACGACGCAATCTCGAAGGTGGGACT